AGGCCTAGCCGAGGCCTAGCCGAGGCCGAGGCGTTGCCGAGGCGAGGCCGAGGCGCGTAGCCGGGATGTGGCCCCGGCGAGCGCCGGCCTCTCCCTCGGGTGGCAGGGCCTCGGAGGCGGACCTCCCTTCAGGCGTGGGGCGTGAACTCATAGGACCTGGACGAGCTGGAGGCGGACCCGAAGGGACTGCGGCACACGCTGCCGAGCGGCGCAGCAGGCGCGGGCTCGTGGCGCCCGCACGGCCGCAGCGCGGAGCACAACCCGCCTCCCCCCCTCCCCCCCCCCTCCCCACCCTTCCCCGTAGGCTCGAGCAGCGACCCCTTTGGTGCGGGCAGGCGCACCGCGGCCAGTCGGCCCGCGAGCCTGAGACCGCGCGGCGGGCCGGACGGCGCCAGCCTCGCGGCGGCGGAGGAGGGGGGCGGAGAGTACGCGCCGTTTGAGGAGGGAGGCGGAGGCGGAGGCGGCGACGCCGACGCCGCGCCGACGCCGCCGCCCGCCATCGCCACCGCGGTCGCGGGCGCACCGCCAGACTTTCGGCAACGGCAGCAGTGAGCCCGCCCGCGGCGGGCAGCGCCGTCCTGGACGGCGCTCCTCACCCTCTCTGAACACGCTGTGCTTGTGCTGGTATGTGATTCGTGTCTGCTGTGTCTGGGAGTGGGCCTTTCCCGAGTCTCGCCGCCTCGCCGCCAGGGCCCCACAACTGGCGGCGGAGGCGGGTGCCGGTTGGCGTGCGCAGCGCCGGAGAGACGCGCGCGCGCCGCGCGCTTGCCGCTTGCCAACCGGCCAATATTTGTTGTCTGGTCCATGCCATATGTGTATGTTGCGACGAGGACGTTTTTCGTTTTAATGGCGTTCTCTCCTGTCTCCAGAGACTTGAATATAGATCGATCGTCGCGATCGACGATTCGGACCCGTGGGAAACGCCAAACGGCAAACCCAAGAAAAGAGAAAACTCTTCGACGGCTCTCAGAAAAGACAGAATTCGTCACACCCGCTTCTCCTTCGCTCGCTCCTTCGTGCTTCGATCTTTGCACCGCGACGCAGTTGCACTACTACTCCTACCTGTGTTTGTGCCAGTGCCGCAAGGCCAGTTAAAAGAAGAAATCGCCACGAATAAAAAACCATGCGACCGCCGCTGCTGCCGCCGCCACCGCCGCCGCCGCCGCCGCTGCCATCGCCGCCGCTGCCACCGCCGCCACCGCCGCTGCCACCGCCATTCCACCCTGGAGCCCATCTATCGGAGCTCTTCGACATGAGCACCTTTTCTGGCCGCTGGCGCTACAACTGGGCCGTGCTATCGCCGCTCGGTCTCCGTTTTGGAGACTCGGCGGTGGCAGAGGCAAACGCCACGCTCGCCGCCAGGGCAGCTGGCCAGCCGCGTAGCGACAGCGACTGCTGGCACGCGACCGGTGTGCTCGCGACGGCGGCTCCAGCCGGGGAGCTCCTGCCGATGCCGCTGCGCGGATGCGGCTGGGCTCTGTGCAACACTCCCACGATCGCCTTCATGGTGTCGTCTGCGCTGCACCACCCGACGTGCACGCGGCGCATCGTCTTTGGCCAGTGGCTGAACCAGACCCACCTGGCCGGGGTGACGTGGTGCAACCGCGGCGCGTCAGCCGAGGGAGACGGCCCCAGCACAGCCGTCGTCGCAGCCTCGTACATCGGTGCTCTCGTCACCGCGATCCCGATCGCCGTCGGCGGCGGGAAGCTTTCGCAGCGGTCGCCGCTGCTCAAGCCGTTCGCGCGGTTCGCCCCCTACCCGGCCGTCGCCCTCGCGAACTTCCTCGGGAGCGCGTGCATGCGCTCGTCCGACGCGACGCGAGGCGCACTCACAGCCGCTCGACGCTCCGTAGACAGCTCCTGCCTTATAGACCACTTCCTTGACCGCTTCCTGGACGCACGCCGCGCCTCGCAGCTGGCGAGGCCGCGCTTCCCCCGCGCCTCGAGACCTCGGGAGGCACCCTCCGTAGGGGTTCCTGTCGCGGACCCGGCGGACGGGCAGCCGCTCGGCCTGTCTCGCGCCGCCGGGGAGAGGGCGGTCCGCGACACGTGCGTGACCAGGCGGCCGCAGCTGCCCGCGCGGCTCCGCCTCTCAACAGGAGCGTCCGGCGAGGTGTCGATGTGTGGGAGTAGGCTGCTGATGCCCGTCGGCAACTTCCTCATCGTCCCCGCCGTGGTGTGGCTCTACACGGCGGCGCGGCGCATCAGGCAGCCGAGCCTGGCGACGCAGGTCGCCGTCACCGCGGCGGTCTTCTCCGTCTGGCTGCCCACCGCGGCGTCCTTCTACCCGCCCGTCGGCAGCTTGGCGCTCGACGAGATCGAGCCGCATTTGCGCAGCGAGGCGGAGGCGCGCGCGAGGCGTGCGGGCAGGGTCGTCTCGCCAAGCGTCGAGTACGAGCGAGGCGTGTAGCCCCGCGCCGGCCGTGTCGCGTATGCCGGTGGGGTGCCGCGCCTCTGCGTCTCCGGGCCCTCCGCGCCGTTTTCGCGCGCGCGGCCGCGGGGCGCGCACCTCCACACCTGTTGCTGTTCTCTCTAACATCCTCTAAGACTAAGTGTTACATTTTCTTTTAACCCGTTTTATTAGTAATTTATACCACCCTGCGGAAAAACAAAACGTGCGCTCGGCCCACGGCCACGCCTCCCTCGCGTAGTCTGATCTCAGTGGCCCTGCGATTCGGCGGCCGGATCCTCGGCCGTGCGGCGCGGTCGCCGCTGCCGGCTGTGCGCCCGCTCTCGCGGCCCTCCCCGCCGCGCGTGGCTCGAGCGGTACCCTGGCTCGCCGAGCGTCGGGGGCGCTGGAAGCTGCTCTTGCCGCGCCGCCGCCGCCGCGCCGCCGCGTGCCCTGCGGCGCGCCTCCTCCGCCTCGGCCTCGGGGTCGGCGAGGGCGGATGTGAGGAGCACGCGCACCTGCGGCCGGTGGGTGGCGTGGGGGGGGTGAGAGGGGGGGGGGGGGGGGCCCAAGAGGGGCCAGGGGGCTAAAGGGGGAAACCGGGTTGAGCGCCACCTTGCGGCCGCCAATCTCCTCGCCGTCCCTCGCTGCTGCCGCCGCTGCTGCTGCGGCCGTCTTGAAGCGGATCGCCGCCTTGCCCTTCTTGGGAAGGCGGATGGCGGCGGGCGGGCCGCAAGCCTGAGGGCATCGCGGGGAGGAGGGGTGCGGACGCAGTGCCACGCCACCCGCCTCTCCGGCATCTCTGCGAGACCGCACCTCGAAGATCCTCCTCACCGCCTCGAGGCTCCACTGCTCAGCGGGCAGGTTGCGCACGAACACGCAGCTCTGCGGGGGGAGGCGGGGCGGCGGCTCACAAGAGGAGCCGAGACGCAGCCGAGATCTGGCCGAGATCTGGCCGAGCTGCAAGAGGGCCGCGGCTCGAGGGGCGGGGGAGCGGAGAGGCCGCAGAGCCTGCTCGAGCGGCGCCGTGCCGAGGGCGAGCTCGACTGTGATGGGTCTGCCTCCCACCTCGCTGCCGCTCCAGCTCACCGCCTGCTCGCGGAGTCGTGGACGCGTCACGGACGTGTGTCACCGCGAGAGGGCGGAGCCGAAGCAGACCCGCCTCGGTGGCGGCCTCGGCGCTGGCAAATGTGAGAAAGCCGGAGCCGCGGAAGCCGCTCCCCTTGGCGGCAATCCAATGGATCGACTCGACCGCCGAAAAGCTGGTCCGCACCCACTCGTCCGACGTGCTGAACGGGAGGTTGGAGACGTAGACGCGCCGTCCCTGGGTGATGGCAGCCTCGGCGGCCTCTCTCGAGTCCTTGTGCATCGTCCGGCCCGCCGCCGCCTCCGCCTCCTCCAGCGACGGCTTGGGCTGGTCGGCAGCCGCAGCCTCGCTGGCGTCAGCAGCGGGCGAATGCTCTGGCGGCTCGGGCAACTTGGGCGCCTTCGCCGAGAGTGTCTCCTCGCGAGGCCGCTTCCGGACCTCGGCCGCTGTCACCACGGCAGACTGCGCAGCCCTGCGGGCCGACGCGGGCAGCGCGGCTTTCTCCTTTTCTGCCCGCCGCTCCGTCTTCTTCTTCTTCTCCTTCTTCCTTGCCTTGGGCTCCGTTCCGTCGTTCTTGTCCAGATTCGGCTCTGTTACCATGGGCACGAGTCGCTTTGAGCTGCTTTGGCGAGCGCAGGCAGCTGAGCGCAGCCCACCTCCTCGACGTCGACTCGCTGCCCGCGCGACTTTTTTTTGCCTTGCAGCGCTGGAACTCTCGCAAAAGTCTCTCGCCAGAGTCGGTGCCCGGTGCCGAGCGCAGGCCGGAGCCCACAGGTCGGACCTTCTCTTTGAGAATGTTGTATAGTGTGTATGTCGGTGTCGGAGCGCTCCGGAATTTTACTCCCTTATGAGCGCGCGGTTCCTCCTCCCCCGCATGGGTCATGCACCCACACAAGCCAGATTCCAACCCCCCGACGTCGCCCAACACAGTCGCAGTCTGAGCCGCCAGTCAGCGGCGCATCGCCGCGAGCTGCTCGATGGCGGCCTCGAGCGTGAGGGAGCCCGCCTCCACCGCCTCGTCGATAGCCTCGAGCTGCGCGAGGGCTGCGCCGGACGCCTCCGCCTAGATGATCCATGCTGCGAGTCGTACTCCGTGTGTCTGTGTGCCGCTCCATTGGGACCGTCGTCCATGCGTCCGCCCATACCGCGCCGGTCTCCAGACCCTCGTCCGGCTGCTGGTCTCCCACCTCTCTAGCTGCTCCGCCTGGTCGAAGGCCCGGTCGAGCGAGCGCTGCCTCTCCTCCTCCGCGAGCGCCTCCGCCCTCGCCACGAGCCGCGCCGCCCGCGCCTCTGCCGCCGCCGCCGCCGCCTCGAGCTGCGCGGAGATCTCAGCCAGCCGGGCCGCCTCCGCCTAGCCGAGATACAACCGAGATACAGCCGAGAGACAGCCGAGGTCTCCGACAGCAGCACCGCCCCCGCCTCCGCGAGAGTGAGCGCATCGCCGGCGCTCGCAACCATCGCCCCTGCCGCCCTCCCCGCCGCCTCCTCCGCCGCCTCCTCCGCCGCCTCCGCCTCCGCCGCGCCGCCGGTTTGGGCGACCGCCTGTGGACGTGTCATGGACGGGTCATGGTAGCCTCATGGACAAGCCAGCGCCTCTCCAGCGACCGCCTTGGCCTTCCTCGCGCGCCTCGCCGCCCGCTCCGCCTCGGCCTTCTCTGCCTAACGACCATGAACTGCGAACTCGTTCATTGGTCCATATAGCCGCCCGGTTCGCCGCGGCCTTCTCTGCGCCCGCGCACGCTCCACCGCCGCCTGGCGCGCGGCCTCCGCCTGAGGGGTAGCAAAGAGACGGCCGAGATCTAGCCGAGATACACCAGGGTTGGGCAGAGATAGAGCCGAGATAGAGCCGAGATCAGCCGAGACAGAGCCGAGTTCTAGCTCCGCCACGTACCTCGCGGTCTGCGCCCGCCTGTGCGCTATCTCGTCCAGATCTCGGCCAGATCTCGGCCAGATCTCGGCCAGATCTCGGCTATCCGCCTGTTGCGCCGCCACTCGGGCAGCGTCGCGCTTCGTAGCGGCACGCTCGACCTCGCCCTCGCCCTCCTCTCCGCCCTCCTCCTCCTCCTCGCCCTCCTCCTCCTCCTCCTCGTCACTGCTCCCGTCGGCAGCGGCCGCGCGCTCCTCCCGCACCCTCGCCTGGCATCACGTAGCGAGGAAGGGTGACTCGTTAGCGACAGGCTGCGCGCCCCTCCCGCACCCTCTCGCCTCCAGCAGCCGCGCCGCCAGCGCCGGCTTCTTGCCGCTCTTGTCGAGCCCGCGCTCCGCCTAAGGGGAAAGTTCCGAGAAGGGTCCGAGAAGGGTCCGAGAGACGCGTCGCTTCCACCGCGAGGCTGGCCGCCAGCGCGCTGCGAAGTGCGCCCATGTTCATCGCCTCGACTTCGGCAGACAGCTCCTCCATCTCTGCCTACAGCCGAGATACAGCCGAGGTGCAGCCGAGAAACAGCCGAGGTGCAGCCGAGGTGCAGCCGAGGTGCAGCCGAGGTGCAGCCGAGGTGCATCTCCATCTCTGCCTGAGGAGGAGGGGAGGAGGGGAGGAGAGGAGGAGAGGAGGAGAGGATGGGAGGAGGAGGGGAGGAGGGGAGGAGGGGAGGAGAGGAGGAGGGGAGGAGAGGAGGAGGGGAGGAGACGGCTGTGTCTCGGCCATCTCTCGGCCGCACCTCGTCGAGACCAGACTCGTCGCCGCTCGTGCTCGCCCGCCCCTCCGCCGACGCATCCTCCTCCTCCTCCTCCGCCGCCGCCTCTGCCGCCCTCTCCGCAGCCTCTGCAGCGGCCGCCGCCGCCGCTTCCTCCCTCGCAGCGGCGGCGGCGGCGGCGGCGGCGGCGGAGGCCACCACAGCGTCATCCGGCGGGGGGCGGAGGAGGGAGCGATAGCAGCGCACGCGCACGCGGTCGACCACCTGGGGTCGATGCGCGGCGGCGTTGACTGGGGCGTGTGGACTGTGGACTGTGGACTGGTCGTACACGACACGCACACAGGCGGAGCCGGCAGCAGGGTGAGCAGCGGAGCAACACGAAGCAGGTGGCATCTCGGCTACGCCTCGGCTGCATCTCGGCTATGTCTCGGCCATCTCTCGGCTAGTCGCGGCGCCAGCTCGGCAGCCTGCTCCTCCCACCCGTCCGCCGTGGAGATGTGCGGACGCTTGTGCGGCGTCGCCACGAGCAGCAGCGACGCCGCGCGGGCGAGTGCGGTCAGCGCCGAGTTGAAGTACGACTTGTCGAGCAGGTGCAGCGCAAAGGCCTACTCTCATCAGCCAACTGCTCTGGGCCAATGAATGGTCGACTTGTCGAGAGGAGGTGGAGTGAAGGCCTGAGAGTGAGAAGACACACCTCCTTGGATAACACACGTGCATGGGACGCAACCCTGAGGCCGCCGAGACCGGCGCTGCACAAACAGTCGACAATGCAGCCGAGAGGTGGGTTGGGTTTGGACCCGGCATCTAGGCGCCCGTTACAGCGATCGCGAGGTCGAAGGGCTCCTCCTCGTCGAGCTCGCCGGCGGACACGTCCTCGAACGACCAGCGTCTGCACGGCTCACCAACCCGCTCCTCAAACGCCTGGTGCGTGAATGGGTCCGCCGCGGTGCAGGCCGGCTGCTGCCTGCCTGCTCGGCTCGCTACCCACTGGCGGACGGCAAGCGTCGCCTCGCCCGAGCCGCATGCCAGATCGAGCATGCGCAGCCGGCGCGTCGAGCAGTCCAGCTGGCCAGCCGTCTCGAGCCGCCCGAGCGCGGCAGCGAGGGCCGCGGTGAGCGCGGGCTCGTGCGGGTTTCGATACTTTGCGCCGTGCTCGGCGTAGTAGCTCGCCGCGCCTTCACTCTGTTCGTAGGCCTCGCGCATAGATGCGAAGCCGCCCGACATGGCGGCGGACATGGTGAGACGTTCAGCCGGCACGTGCGGCGAGGCGAGGCACGCACGCTCTTTGGAGGTCTCTTGGAGCAGAGGGCGAGTGAAAGAGCGGGGGTGGGTGTGTGTGTGAGTGTGTGTGGTGCTGCTGGTGCTGGTGGTGCTGGTGCTGCTGGTGCTGCTGCTGCTGCTGGTGCGGCGCGGCTCTCCGACTCGACTCGAGGCGCGCGTTGCGGCAATCTGACGCGGCGGGCGGCGTCGCGGGCGGCAGCGATCGCGGCTCGACGGTGGAGGCGGAGGGTGGTGGCTGTGGTGGATCTTTGAGTTTATTTCATGATGGACTACGAGGACTGGGGGGTCAACCGGGAGGCAGGGGGTCAACCAGGCGACGGAGGACCGTGGGCCATCGCGGGGACGGGTCCGTCCGGAGGGCGAACCCGATAGATCCGGATGGTCTTCACGCCGGTGGGAGGCACCGAGGCGTCTTGTACGCTCAGCTCTACCTTAGCTCCTGAGGGGCGCGTGGTTCTAACCACGTAGTATGACTATAGCCCACCACAGACACCCTCCCTGCTCCACACGTGTGCACACACCCTCACCCTCTCCTCTCTCCTCTCTCTCTCTCTCTCCTCTCTCCTCTCCTTGTCTGCTGTCTGCCTGACTCAGGCGCAATCTGCCGATGCGAGATTGTGTGTGGGCTGCTCCTAGGGGGCCCTGTGCGATCCGACGGGTAGGGGGGCTGTGCCCGGGCGGTGTCCGGTGTGGAGTCCCCTTCTGATCCCGCCTGTGATGTTGGGTGCGAGGTCGTGGAAGCTTCGATCCCAAGGGGGGGAGCCGATCCCACTCGTAACCAACTCTCAGGGGCAGTAGGTGGGCGAGCTTCAGGCGCGCCCATCTCGATCGTCAAGGCGTCGCTACGCGCGGTCTTCCGCGGGGGGAGCTTCGTCGACGGGTGTGGGAGCGCGGCGCAGTCAGTGCCGTGGCGATGCCTCCGGCTGTTTGCGGCGGGCGGCTTGCTGCTCGCTGCATGGCGAAAAACTCGTCTCGCCACACACCAAGGGCGTATGCTCTGGCGAGACGTGAGGCGCATGCGCCCAGGAGGGGGCATGCGTAACGACACTGCTAGAGATGCCTTTCGGGGCCCAGAGACAAAACTTCTGATGCCATGCGTGACCTAGTAGTGTCCCCAGCTATGGGCGTGTCCACGTTGGAGCCAGGTGTGGTGTGGGCGCGAGAATAGCTCCGCCGTTCATGGAGGCAACCGATGCGAGTCGACTGGTGTGTGTCGTCGTGGTTTCGTATCAAGAATACTCACTCACAGCGGGGGTGGGTCCTCGGAGAGGGTACCCTGGGTGGGCGGGGCCTCTACTCGCCAGCGCGCGAGACCTGAGGCCTGAGCCTGTCCGGGATGAAGAATTAGATGTAAGGTGCGGCGCCTGCGGCGGTGTACCCGCCTCTGTTGTTCGGGCAGAGTGAGTGAGAGACGCAGGATCTGCACGCCAAAGTGGGGCCACTCCGTGATTGATGAAGAAGCCAAGCCGGAGCACTGGGAGACGCATTTATTCATTCAGAGACGCACCTTCAGTAGTTCAGTTGCTTCTGACAGTGACTGTCACCGCGTTCAGTCGTTCTCGACGGTCCGTGCGAGACTAGTATTTAAGAATTCTTTTCAAGGGAGACAAAAAAAAACTGCTCTGCTTTCGGCGCGGCTTCCACCCAGCGGGTGAGACCGAGACCGCAAACTGCCGGACAGCCCCTCCCACCAGCAACTCCCTTCTTTCTAGCGGCCCTGTCGTAGCGGTCCTCGCACCCGCAACGCCCTAAGAAAACATGGTCCCGCTCTCCCCTGTCGCGATAGGCGCTCGGCCAGCGTTGCGGAGCAGCCCTGGCCGAGCTGCGCAGCGAGAACATACACGCACACATTATGGACGACAAGCCACTGCTCGATGACCTCGTCAATCTGATTCGGTTGGACGAGGAGTCGATCCTCGACTCGCTCCGCGCCCGCTTCGACCGGGACCTGCCATACACGCTCTGCGGCCAGATTTGCGTGAGCGTCAACCCGTTCAAGTGGCTGCCGCTCTACACGGACGAAAGGGTCAAGGAGTACGCGGCAGCGGACAACCCCTTCTCGGAGCTGCCGCCCCACCTGTACGCCATCGCCCACGCCGCGCACCGGCGCCTCGTCGCCGCGCTCGAGGCCGGCACGCCGCCGTCGCAGTCGGTGCTCGTCTCCGGTGAGTCGGGAGCAGGTGAGCCGGCGTACAAGGGAGGGTGGCAGACAAGGGAGGGTGGGAGAGAGGAGTGGGGAGCCGGCCTGGAGGGAGGGAGGGGCGAGAAGAAGAAGCAAGAGCGAGGGCGGGAGAGAGAGGGGGGGAGGGAGGGAGGGAGGGAGGGAGAGAGAGAGCAACCAATGCGGCGCCGCTTCCTCCGCCTCGAGCCGCCGCCCGCTCTCTCTCTGCAGGCAAGACCGAGGCCACAAAGATCATGCTGCGCTACCTCGCCGCGGTCAACTCGGTCCACACACTCCCCTCCCCTCCCTGCCTCGCTCCCTCCCGCCCCCCCG